ATTAGCAACCTGTTTAATTAGTAAAAAATTTATGAACAATTACCTTTTCCATTTGTTGGTATGACAACGCATCACCAATCCTTGTAGCTTTATGGCAAGCTCGAGTAGCAAACATATTTCGAACTTTTGAGCACCGAACCATTTCTCCGGGTCTTTCACTCAGTATAAAAATCAATTCTTCCAAATCTTTATAATAAAATAAATATTTAAATAAAAAAAAAAAAAAAAATGTATATTGTTACTAGTGGATCCCAGCCGATCAAAAATTTTCGACCGACTAAGCCGATTTTTTTCACTATCGCCTAGGATCACTAATTGTTACTGCGAACATAGCATAAGAATACGTATTACCCTTGACGCCAAAAATAATATTTTTACTTATTGGTTGTGATATTAGCTTTAGTTTTTTTGTTGTTCGAGCCTCTAAATCGACCTCTAAATCGAATCCATTCGCTTTTAAGATGTTTATATTGTCAATGGCAACCAGTTCTTCCGCAGCAGTAAGTTCCAGATGTCTTGGACTAAAATATAACAATATAAAGGTTAGAAATGAATAAACAATTATTTAATGAACAATATTTGTATTGACCTAATTAGTCGCTGAGAATCGAATTTAGTGTCAAGTTGAAGCTTTTCAAAATTATATTTCTCATCTGATGCGTGTTGATCAATTATTAACAAGTCACGGCTCTCATCTTTAAATAGTTTAGCAATTATAAACCCAAGATTAAATTGGCCGATGATTTCCATCAGTTTAAAGTCACTTTTTTTTATAATCCTATTTAATTCTCTTTCGGCAGCTTCATTATCAGTATGAAATAGGTCACATTTAGTTACTTTTGGTTCTCTTTCTCTTTCGGCAGCTTCATTATCAGTATGAAATATGTCGCATTTAGCTACATCTGGTTCTCTTTCGGCAGTTTCGTTATTAGTATTACTTTTAGCTATAACTCTATTAGTATTAAGACACGTAAAAGTCGAACGGAATGGTTCAAGAAAATTGTTCATTTCGTTCTTAATATAAATTATCCAAGATTATATGTATTAAACTAAATACTTAAGAATTACGCGCTGAACATAAATAAAAGTAACTTCACCTTCAATTCCTCAAGAATTTTATTTTCATTATGAATAAATATAGTCCTTTTGTCAGGAGTGACATTAACATCATAATGGCCTAAATTATCAGATATGCATTAGAACGAGATATCAAAACCTCAGACTACGTAGCAATGATTTCGTACATTTTCCAAGCCGAAAATTGACAACACAAAATGGATATTGATTCGTATTAAAACTTTTATATAATTCATTAATAGTTTTAGCGACCTATTTCAAATATATATAAAAACCTAGTATATTAAGCAGGGTTAACCCGAAATTAGGATTCGTGTATATATATGAACGTAAAGTGTATAAACCTTTGGCAAATCGCAAGGCCGACCGTTAATGAAATAGTACTGTCTGTCAGAACTTCCTCGGCCGCAGCCTTTCATTGGCTTTGATATGTATCCAACAATATTTATAGTACATATATCACTGTATTAAAACAATTAATGGATTAATCAAAATATAATTTATTCCAACCTAAAA